ATCGTATTCCGATTTATACAAATTGTTTTTCTAAGTTTCGCCTTATGTTAAGTACCTGTCGCTGGTGGCACTACGATTTATTTAGCAAGGAAAATCGAATAATTATGTGCCTCCTAATAAATATGTATGTGGAGTGGTCGATTGACGTCAACGGCCTTTGGGTTCTTTAGGTTGCATGTCAGCTGTGGCGAGCTGGCCTGCGCCCGCGCACTCCAACCGACCCAGCTTCCGGCGGACGTTTACCTCGCATTCTGGATTGTTCCTGGCCTACGGGATAGAAATTAGCCTGAATGATTGATTCATATATGTTTAGTGGGCTCGTTCCGAGTTTAAATGATGCGCGGGCTGGCAGCATATTAAAAGTATTTTAAATAATTATCATTTGAAAATGGAATTTCGTTTTGGTTTGTCTATTGCTTATTACTTCTTGACGTGTGGGATTCTGTAGTTGTCTTATTCCCGCTACAAAAAAAATATAGATAATATTACTTATTAATCAAAAATTACTTAAAACCCATTCAATTATAAATATAGCGAAATACATGTTAAACGTTGCATAAAAGCAACAGCTATATATAGAAGCTTATGCCTAAGCCAGAAAAGTATTTTGGTTTAGAATAGGTATTTTATTTCTAAAGCAAATTGTATGGATAAACTTCCGAAAAGCGCATACCGCCGATCGATCTGAAATTTGGTATACTTATGTAAATATTTAATCTGATGATACAAATTACAGCTGTATTAATTAGAACGCACTCATTTAATCTCTGAAACTAAGAGGCTAGTCTTGAGACTAACCGTGTGGAATTACTCTCAGTACGTCATTCATCAAAGATTTTCAAATCGAATCAAATTCACGTTTTTTGTCTATAACTTTTTTGCTAAGCTTTACGTATTACAAGACTATGAACAAAGTAAAGTTATTGAATACATTTTTTACTACCTACAACTAAACTTAACTAACAGTAACTAATCTAAAAATTTACTTTAAAATCTACAAAGATATGTAAATTATGCTTGAAAAGGTATCCGTTAATTTTTTTTCATACATGAGTCTCGGCTCTTATGTGTTCGAGCTATTAAAACATTTGATTTACTAAGACACGTAATTGATCAAAGCTATAGAAACTATTGTGTTTCTCCAGGATTTAAACCTAGGACATCCCCGCTAAACTGAAAGCTAGGTAGTGATTTAATTTATGGAGCCACGGAGGCGGTCATCAAGTAGAACTGTTAAAAACACCCAACACCTAATTATAATGCCATTAGTAGCTGTTATGGTATGAAGGATATAGATAACGCTTAAAAACATTCTCTCGATTTAATTAAGCGTTATCTAAACGACTTCCTGGTCGCTTTCACCCATTAGCACTTTCTTGACCTACCTCTACTTGGTGACAAAAACAATTACCGGATTCGAAGTCGAAACTAAAATGAATATACTTTTTTCTATCCAGCCTGTTACACTGCAATGATAAAAACAGCTCTATGGTTAACTTTTTAAAATATCGATGAAACATTTTTAATCTGTAGCAAAAGTATTCGATCACAACTGTTCTTATTTAAAATAAAACGTTAAATAAAAAATGTAAAATATCAATAAGTAAGAGGAAACTAAAAAATCAATAATCTTTTAATATTCATGTTAAAGTAAACTCATCTAGGAATTTCATTTCACAAAAAAATAATCATAGATTTTTTAATACCTTTTGATTTTATCTATTAAGCTTCCATATTATTCGACCGTTTTATTTATAACCCAGCCGGTTGTTTTTTGTTCAACCCCACATCGGACCGGGAAGAGGGGTGGGGCTAGAGGGACGCGGAGCCGGCGTGGCTGACAGAATCGCGAGCCATGCTTTACAAAAGCAAATTTAATAAATCCTTAGAAATAGTGTTATTTACTCGTTCATACTTGGCGAAGATATAAGTAGAATGTTGTTTTGTGATTTGGTGATGTTAGTGAGTGTACACTACAAGCGCAACTCTGGAAATATCCAAAGCAGAGGTTATGTTTACTCAAGACCTCTGTCTCGTAAGTATCTTTATATTATAATTAGAAAAACATTGGAATTTTCTAAAAACGATTCTTTTGCGGAAATTTCGTCGTCTCCGAATTCCTTTGGACAAAAAACGGCAAATGTAAACAATGATGTTACGCGTACCCTTGACACAGAAGTAACGCAGGTATCATTACCGATTATATACGAAATGACTCAACATGAATTAAGCTTACGAATTGAAATATTGCATTGTTATTTCATATTCACTTTTATGTTTATTTCCAATACTATATATTACTTATGTTTCAAAGTTTTGTCATAGTTGACTAATGCATGACTAACGTTACTTAAGTTCAATTATAAAGCTGAAGTTAATTACTAAACATTATTATTTATCCATCCTTGAGGGCTTCCGTTGTGTGTCCAAATCGTTCCAAGAAACCCAAAAATATGTATGAAAGAACGATTCCTCATTAAATGATGTATCTTTAAGATTAACTCGCAAGAACCGTTTTTATAGTAATCAAATTTGGTCAAAATTAATGCATGAATACCAATTGTTTGGTAGACTTGTGTCTGAATATTAATCTTGCAAAGCTTGGTATAGCTACTACGAACTTTAATATACCTACCCAATAATCATTACCTTTTCACCCCTAAAGAGTGTATACGTTGATCTAGGTATAAGCTATTTTACCCAACACATTTAGTTACAAAATTTGTCTTATCGATATAACCAGAATATAAGCCATAAGGTAGATTTTTTTATCCTCATTTTTTTATTACGTAAGAACTTATAACTGCAATCGCATTGATAATTAAATACACTAAAGGGAAACAATAGCTAATTATAATCATTAATTGATATGACGCAGAACGTTTTATAATATGTTTACATCTTAGCCTTGCTTTGTGAAAGTACTAGTTGCATTTTTAATAGACATTTGATATCGTACCTACTACTAATAAGGGCACTACACTAATTATTAAAGTTAATTTGTCGCGGGTCACGAAATTACGAACACAGCGTTTGTGCTGTCGGTCTACCAAATCTAACATTACGCGGAACATACACACTGAATGTATGAACGGAATGGTACCTGAAGACCAAATGAACAAAGTAACGTATACATTTTTGTTAAGTTAAATCAATTTATTTAAATTAACTAATTCGATTAAATAAAACACTATTAACGGTTTAAAACGTACATCGAAAACGTCGGGTCGCAGTTAAAAATAATTGTTAATAAGCCAAATATGTTTTCATTTCAGGTTTTCAATCTTTGAAAATATTTTATAAAATGTGTACTCACGTAATCTACGCCTATATTTAATATTAACTTTCTAAACCAATCTGAAACCAGTTATCTTCTTTTGAGTAGGTTAATTGAAGTTTTAACGGTTTAGAATGCGAAGTATATAATATATAATGTTTTTAACACGATGACTGCTCTGTGAAAATCAATCAATGATCTAATATCTAATATAAAAACTATTAGCTATGTAAATAAGAAGCAAGAGCAAGTTTCGAAAGACTTTTGTAATATCAGAGCACAGATAAATAAAATTAAAAAAGCCATAGACAATCTTCTAATTACGCCATTGACTGATATAATAATATACGAACGTTTATAAGCAAGAATTAATTAGTATAGTTAATGAAACGCCCTGATTCATGTGCAAGTCACGTTTGATTCACACTTGAATTGTACGATGTTATCTGCTTATTTCCATTGATGTGTCGAATTGAATGTAATTAAGATTGGCGTTAGAGCTTTTTTAAATTAAGCTCTAGAATTTATGTTTTCGATTTTAACTCGAATTCAGGGGTTGTCAACATTTTCTTCTTATCATTGGACATTAATAATAAAGTGTCATGATTAGTTTCTTTTCTTAATTGTGTTTAAAGCTTACGTAAGTCTGTCAAGTTTTACACTTTGACAAGACTTAATGACTTAATGAATAGGTAGTTGGTTCAATTTCCACTGATTCCATGCTACATATATTTCTTTGAAACGCGTTGGACTTTGTCTGGCATTGTTGATATGAGTTATAGAAATATCGATATTCCGCCCTGGTCCACAAATGAAAAAGTCGTCAACTTTGAATTGCGTTTCGCTTTGAATCTGTGGATTTTCGAATAACCAAAGCTAAAATAGGTCAAGAGCGCATCTTGGTGAGATGTTGTATTATTGGGGGTATTCTATCCTCCATCAAGCGCAACCCCGTGCCTGTCATAAAAAAACTTACATAAGTGGAAGATTCCGAATGTTCGTGTATGTATGCTTTTTTTGTAACGACGAGTCGTGTAATTTTTACGATTATCTCTATCTTATCTTGGCGTGAATGTGCCTTATCTGTTTCCGGATGTGTGATTCTTTCGTGATTACAAGCAGTAGTGCAATGTTTAAAACTATAGGAAACATTTGACATACACTTATTAACAAATTAGAGAGATTCAATGATAAATAAATGGTCCGTTAGTGGGATGGGTCCTGCATCTTTCTAATTTGCCTTATGATAATCTGAAAATTAAATGAGTGGTAAAATGTTTCGTCAAAGTCACGCACCACTTCACCGCTTCGGTTTCAATCAGTTGATCTATGAATATCCAAAAGCCATAGTTTGACAGCGCATCTATATACCAATCAAGCTACCGTGGTTAGGGCAACAGCACAGAACACTAGATGCCGGTTCCATTTTTTAAATCTAAAACCGATTCTTAATTTTAAAATACCGCCCACATGGTACGGCGTCTCCGCGGCCGCATATTTCCGATCGCTTTTAGACATATTAAATATAGTAAAAGCGGGTCAAGCCGGTGGCCCCGGGGAAAGTTGGGCCGTCGAGTTTCCTTTTTGCGACATGTCGGACGGACGCGCATGCGCGGCGAATCGTACGTCAGTGTTGGACTGACGTTCACTTGGAGCGCGCGATTAGCACTTTTAATTCGTGGATCGGACGTGCTGTGCATATGTTAAAGTGTTTGTGCCCACGATGAACGGCCCGGGGGTGGCGACCCGCGGTGGCTCCGTGCTGGCCGCGGACCTCCCGGTTCGGCTCTACATGCGGGCGCTGCGCCAGTACCAGAAGCTGGTTGATCTCAAGCGATTCGCATCGAAGGAAAAAGTAAGCGGAAATGTTGTGCATCGTTTACATCGCTTGCGCCTTGATTTATTATAATTTATCCAGGGTTCAGCCACCTCTGTATAAATTATGCCCATTCAAATATTCGTAGTATTTCGGATCACTGGCTACCGTGACACATCTCGGGACATAGCTAATTAAATATTTCAACCGGTCAGTGCATTCTGTTCTAGAATTAAGCGTGACCTTTAATATCGAATGTAGGTTTTGAGTTCTTGACTTTATGTTATGACACTCGTCATTGAACTTACAAAATCGTTGAATATGATGAAGTTGTAATTTTTCTCGTAGCTGTCAAAAACTAAACAAGTGACGATTTTGACATGCACTATATAATTTAAAAATCGAAAATAAATTGAAAAAAATTTCGACTCGGGCAGTGCTGTTGCTGTCAAGTGATGATTTGTTTGAAATCATTCACTACTACAAATTAATTAAATATCATTTTGATATCGATCGCTTGTGAATGGATAAAGATTAGACTTGTTAACCAGCTTAAAAAAATAGTAGGTTTATATTTTTAAATAAAAAAAAATTGATTTCATTTTTTTTTCAATTTGGCATTTATGCATAATATTGAGAGATTTATTATACGTTAGGTAAATAAATAAGAGTACGTATATACCTAGTTTGTGTATTCAATGACATCATTCTATGTATAATATGATAGAATGGAACATAAACCCTCTTAGTATAATTTATTTTATTTAAAATATTGATATATTTTATTAACAGATATCGTGTCCTATTGTTTGTAAGCTGGATTACAAATATTAAAGATATTAAATTGATGTAGTAAATGGTTTTAAACAAATTATTATTTATTTGCTTAGAGGTTGAAGCTACAAGAAACTGTTATTGTAATAATCAAATTAACACATTATGTCATAAATCCATTATATGGCATGTGTACATAAAAAGATATACAGAGTTAATAAGTGTGATAAAATGGAAAATTAAAAACATAATGTTGAAGTGTTTATTTTTTGTTAGATTCTAATTAAAATGAGAAACATTTAAGCGTCCTTATTTAATTTTAATATTACATGTTTTTTGCTTAAACATTTATGTCTATACTTTAGACGATTTAAATAAAACCCATTTAACGGTTAAAACATATTCATAATTTATTTTAATTAGAACGTTTAGGATGCTTTACAGCAGCTATAGTCACTGAGAGCTATTGATATTTGATGATAAGTTAACTCATATATTTCTCGTTTCAAACCGTTTAAAGTGTTTTACTTAAATACACGACTCTAGTCATATAAACGTCAAAACATGGGAATGCCCGTCTACATGATTTCAGTACCCCTGAAATGGACGTGCTGCACGTCAGTCCAGTTCTCGTAATGTTATTCCAGCGCTAAATTGACAGTTGTGTAGAACGTGAACCAGCCACCATAGAAAAAGTCAGAGCTACCAAGTCAGCACCAACTTATTTACCTAACGTGGACGTGGGACGATTCATCCTCACGTGCGATTGTTCTGCTCTGTACCTACTTAGCTGTTGTCTATATTAAGTGACGGCCATCTCACTTTACGGTTCCATTATTAATACGATATTTATCTACAATGCTAGCTTGAGGTTTTTATTACGATTATCAAGTTACGTCAACGATCAGGTTGACTGTAGGTTAGTCTTTAAGAACCTCCAAGGTTTTTTAACTGTTCAATTTATAAGGTCATTGATAAAACCGTTTTTATTTCAATGTCCCATCGCTGGGCGGAGGTCTCTCTCTTTCTTCTCTGCCTCGGCTTTGGGCTATTATTACTTTAATGATAAAGAAGCCATTAAATACAAAAGGTTTTTTAAATATTATCTTATAGTACTAGATTTACCGTCGTTCAAGTTTTTTTTACTATCTACCTACTCAGAAACAAAGTAACTAATACTGATAGCTACTCTATTTTTTATTTAATTATACAAATTACATGACTTCGTACTTAAATATTTATTTAGGAACGAGATACAGTTCAAAAATTAGGATCTGCTACTTCGCTAGCCTCATATCAAAGCTGTTACAAAAACAATTGTTTTCTTAATTTTCCTGAATCCATTTAATTTATAGGTACTGTTGTAGACCGCGTCGTTAAACACTGTCTAATAACTGATGCAGTATAATTTATTCTGCTCTAGACAGAAGATATGAACATTTTGCTGGCAAGGCCGTACAGTGAATGCTTCGGAAATATACTTATGTTTAGCATTATATTATCAAGGCCGTTCCTTACACAACATGTAATAGGAAATTAGGCAGTGATTAAAACTGATTTAAGCTATAAAATTAATAATGGGCAGCGAAGACATCCATTTTAATAAATTCTACAACGTACACAACGCCTATAAAAATAGCAGATCTTTATTAGGTTGTTTTATGGTTGCAATTCGTAAAAATGGACTACTAATGTTACAGGTACACGAGTTTGAATATATACGAGTGTTTTCAAGAGAATCAAACGGTAATTTTATATGTAATGTATGATGTTTCATGAGATAAAACTCTTACTGGTTTGGATGTAAAATATACCTATTAATAAAAACTAAATTAACTTTTATACTTCGCGGTTTAATCCGTTATATGTGCTATTTCATAAAATTTTATGTAATTAAAATATTACACATCGAATCGACAATCGTTTGGATGTTTTATATAATGTGTACTCAAGCTTTTTTTAATATCGCTGCTTACAAATATTGCTTAAAAATAATCTTTACATCCACACTTAATGTAGGTACGTGACGTTAAGCCTATCTTTCCATTACGTTTAAATACAAAGAAAAATTAAAATTCGCTCCACTTTCTCTGCCGGAGAGTCGCATAAAATATTTCTTTGTTCTTGCGACAATGCATTTATTATCTGTCCCGTTTCGTTCTAACATTTATTTTCTGTATTGTGTAAGCGTAAAAATATCATTTATATAAAAGGTTTATAAATAAGCATAGTCTATGGTAACATCTGTATCTTAAAAGCCAGTATTAATATTTTTATTTTATATTGGCGCGAAACTTTCAAAGATGAAGTCTAGCCTTTTGGTGTTAAAAGCAACACGCAATATATGTTTAGATTTCGTGTTTTACACAAACGTCGACGTATTACATAAACAATCGTAATTAACAAAAATAAAATCGAGCGTTGATAACGGGTTACCATTCAGTTTTACTAAAATAGAATCTCAGAAATATCGTCTCAATGTTATACATGAGATAACCTATGATGCTAAATACAACAGTATACATGAATTATACTACAATCTACCCACGACTTTACTCAGGAAAAGATTTGAAACACTCACACGGTAGTTCAGTTGGCTAATGCAGCAGCACAGGATCGCCCGTGTCGTTTTTTAATCTAAATAAATTTTTGATTTGATACTACTGATTAAATTTGGTTTATCAATAAAATATTTGAAAACCTACCATAACTGCATGAACACGAAAAGAATAAAAGTCTTTAATGCTACCAGGGCAACAAGAGTTCGAAGCAGGCTGGGCACTAAAGTCCAGACCAGTTGGACTTTAGTGCCCAGCCTGCTTCGAAGAGAATTTGAAAAGAGATTTGTACCTTGTAACGTACACAGAAATGTGCTTGACTGAAAACTGGTCTTCAATAAACTTCATAAAATATCCATTGTTGCATTTTTTAGCTTATTAATTCAATTAGTATTCTACAAAAGCAAATTGTTGTTCTTATTTTTATTACTATAAAGAATTCAGAACAGAATAATATTGTAAACCAACACTTAAGTAAAACAAAGGGACAAGTAATTCTATATTTGTAGTGTTATGCACAATAGTGGATGTTATGTGTGTTGAATTTTAATTGCTTTTACCTAGTCTGTTAATGGCATCACGTTTCGAAAACTACGTGGCAATACGTAAATCGTTTGGAAGGAACGTTGCAATATCTCTCTTTATATAAAATGTATATTTTGTTTTTGGCTTTGGAATTCGGAAATCCACAGACTAAAACGGAAACGCGATTAAACTTCACGGCTCACCTGTTCATCTGTGAACAGTGGTTCGTGACCCGGACAGAATTTCGATATTTAATATCCAGATTTACAGACGAAGACCCAGTAGGGAACGAACCCAGAACGTTGATTATTAGCTACAAAGTGCTACCATTTCGCAATCGAGCCCGTTAAATTTTGTTTAGTTTTAAAAGATCCCTTATGATGCCACCGACCAGCTGCATATACCGTAGGACCGACGTGTTAAAAAATCACCTACGAGTAATCAAGAGATAATGTAAATGAAACCGGTCGAAAACAAGTTAAAACGTCAAAGCGCGAAAAAAATATAATTCGCCATTAATAAAATGTACCGAATGTTTTTGTAGTTCATAGATACAACATTTATTTTAGTATTCACAACTTTGACCTGTCACTTTACGTCATCTTTAAGAGGATTATATGTTTTATACAGACTTTTTAATTGTCTTGTTCATAGCATAACATTTTTGGTTTTTAAACTTAGTTATTTATCACTCTTTAGGCTTATAAAGTATCTGCCCCCGTTAACATACATTCGAAAGGGGGGGCGTGGCAGATGGCTCCTGTTTCACAAACAAGCGCGAACGTTGTGCACGAACAAAAAATTGTTTTTCGTTATACGGCCAGTAATTATAAAATTTTACTCTTTGACGTCAGCGAGAATAGTTTAATTTATATTCATAGTATAATGAATTGTAATATAATCGTTCTAAAATACCAGCCGAATTATCGTCTTTTGACGTCTAAAGGTCGTTATCTCGTAATTAATTCATGTTATTTTTGTAGATATTTTTTTATCTGTGGAGGTGTAGTTGTTATTTCTGATTTGGTAGTTAAGTCCTTCTTTCAAAGCTATTCGATGTAATCCGTTCAAATAAATGTTTCAAGATATTTATATACTGTGGTAAGTATTACGTTTATCTGTAGTTAACGAAGTAAAAATTTAGTAGTAAACTCGACTGAGAATTGTTTTTTTGTCAGCAAA